CTACTCGTGTTAAAAAATTTGCCAGTAGATTCTACATTCGAAATGGAACCAAAAAGCCCTAATTAACTATGGTCCGAATCTCAATAGTTTCTGAGTTATCTCACTTTTTCTGATTTTTTAAGATTTTACGACCTTGATTCAAATAAACATGATAACTCAAAAACTAAAAGGTTTTGGACAAATCCATTTCGCTTTCGAACCTAAATTTAAAAAAAAGTTTTATAATTCCATTTAAAATTTCCTTAAGTATTTTTTTTTAATTTTTCACCTTACCAATCCATCAACCACGGGTTTTTCTTTTCCTTCATCAATTTATTCATCTTTGAACAAAGTAATTAAAAAATCGATTATACCACTAAAAAGGATATTAAATGGAGTACGTTTGCTGAAATTTGCTAGTCTTTAGGTTTGGAAGTAGTAGTTAGAATTACCGTAGTAAGTTGTTCAACTGTGAAAAAAATTTTTTTTTTCAAATTTCTCCCTACTAAAACGCTTACTTCACGAAGGTTTACAATTTAGTTCATCACATCTTATTGCAAATTTAACGTAGTTTTCAATGGTATTAACAGATTTGTCCAAAAACTTTTAATATTTGAATTATCACTGTTTATTTGAATCAAGGTCGTGAAATCTTAAAAAATCAGAAAAAGTGGAAAAACTACGAAACTGTTGAGATTCGGACCATAGTTAAGTAGGACTTTTTGGTTCCATTTTGAATGTAGAATCTACTGGCAAAGTTTATGACACGAGTAGCACACCCTGTATTTGGACTTCTACTTGTGTATAATTCGTTACTTCATTTTAATAATTTAACCGATAAAAAAAATTGGATTTAGTGCCGCATATCAAGGCAAACGTTCATTATAATTCACTAATTTCGTGGTCCTCTTGACCAATTAATATATTACAATTAATTAAGGTTTTTAGTTGAGATAAAAAAGTCAATGGCACGAGCGGGATTCGAACCCACGATCTTCGGCTTGATACGCCGCTGCTCTACCACCTGAGCTATCGTGACCTCGATCCAAAAAGGAGGGAAAATTCAAAAGGTGCAGTTCAGATGGGAGGTTGGTGTCCGAGTGGATCGAGGTCACGATAGCTCAAGTGGTAGAGCAGCGTCGTATCAAGCCGAAGGTCGTGGGTTCGAATCCCGCTCGTGCCATTGACTTTTTTATCTCAACTGAAAACCTTAATTAATTGTAGTTCACTATAATGATAAATAAATTTAATATTTATGACTCGTAAATCAGAATCTACACCTGGGATTGTATCACCAGTTTGTGTCCCATTCAACTTTACGGAGATCTGATCCTCTGGAAGGTTAGGATTGACTCGTCTCTATTATCTAAACCACTCCGTCAAGGGGTCCGACCCCTCCTACGTTATTTAGAAGATGCATTGCGAAGGGGAAATTAGTATCGTGCCGAACACAAGCACTTCGGTTTTTTAGGCATCATTAAGCAATATTTGATGGTTTTGAATTTAAACGCAACCCCTATCGAATTGTTATAAAACTTGTAGTTTGGAGTTTTATCAGAAGTTGTTATAATTACGTGGGAAAAGACTGTACATTCCATAAGGACGTTTGAGACAGTAAGTTCAAAGAAATAATGACTAATGAATACATAATGAAAAATGAAAACAACCTCGTCAATTATATCAATATCAATATTTATACAAGGAGAAGCTCATTTAGGATCCACAAGCAATCAGACTGAACGGAAAGTAAACACTTCGGGCCCTCAACAAGAATTAATAAAATCAGACACCCATAGAAATGAGGACTGGCTACATCAACCCGGAAACACTCTTTACAATTTCCTATAAATAGACAACACAGTAGAAGAAAGAGGAAATTAGATGTAATGATATAGTAGACAGATGGCTCCAAAACAAATGAAGAAACGGGCCAGGCGTTTGCTGCACAAGCCCCAAACATGAACAGTAAAACACATTATGGAAGTTTTCAGGCTGAAATACATACCATCAACGCTTTTGCTTTAAAAAATATTAAAAGAAGTCACAATGACAAAAATGTCCTCATAAGATATGACAGTCAAGCATCTGTTACATCATTAACAAACGCAACAACTTGATGAATCGAATGTGAAAGTCCACTACGCGATGAGATTGAGGAATTGTGTCCTAAATCCAAACTGGTGACTTGGAATAGTTCCTTGGCCTTCAATAGTGAGGTTATACAGGGAAAAGGTATGGGCGGGGATTAAGTAATATTGATTGAACAGGAATTCGCTTAAAAATGACGATATGTATCCTACTCGTGACATTAACTCAGGCAGAGGTTAGATGATGTTGGCAGCCGTGAGTTGTAATGCGTTCACTCGGATTAAAATTAAAAAAATCCTCACACGAATTGCATTAAAAGAGGATTTTGAACAACCACAACTTACAACGATGCCTTATCCGGCCATATTGGAGATGTTGGCAACCAGGCTAATTATGTTCATTCCTATTAGGTTAGTAGTGGACAAAGTATTCACCATAAGATCTAAGACAGGTTTCCCCTCTAGTCCTCCCATAAAGGAGATGTTGGCAGGTGAAAACGGTTCCTCCAATGGTGCCTCATCTGGTCCTCCGTAAATGGAAATGACAACCAAGCTAATTCTGTTCACACATTAAAAGAAGATTACCGATACCAATGGTTTTCGTCTTTGATAATTTTATAACAAAAGTATCGAAATAATCTGTTCTCTTGAATAATCCAGTAGACAACGCACAGCCTCAGCTAAGCAGACCTACTGTTAGTAGGTAGTAATTAACCGACGTAATAAAGTGCCACATGGTGTAATAAACCATGTTCTGCCAGCCTTGAATTTAAAAACTTGGGCTTGCCGTAATTTGTACGATTAAACGCTTTCAAAATCTTCTCCTCGATTTAAATAGCAAGGGAGGAGTTCGAGTCTCAGAATCAGTTTACACGGGGAGCGTTCTTTTGTGAGCCACCCTCCGTCAGTGCCACCCCGTCGTTCAGCCACTCCAATGCCCTTGGAGTAGGCTCTTTGCTAATGCTGGATTTGGACTAGGGGAGGAAGGAAGCTCCGTATGGAGATTTGTATACCCAGATCCTTCCTCATTCGTACTCTCCTGGCTAACAATCTCAAACCGTTCAATCTCTAACTTCCCCCTCTGGCTTCCACAAAGAGCCTGGTTGACGTTGCCTAAACCCTCCTGCCCGATCTTTTATCGCCAAATTATTGTAGGAATGATTTTTTATATCCTATAAGCGATCGTCAACCCAGATTAGCATTAAGATGATAAAAATGGGACTCGTTTACATCCAACAAGTAGTTATTTACATTTAAGTTGATGGCTTTAAGTTGAACTAAATGTTTATTTGCTAATTTTATCAAGGTCAATGTTAGGCCGTGTTTAAATTCTATATAGCAACTAGTTCCTTTCTACAATCAAGCAAATTCTGAATCAATAAAATAGTTTTACTCTTGTAAAGTTCAATGATCATTTGCTACATTATTAATCATACATTTATGCTGCCTAATTGAAAGAACATTAGTCGCAAATTTTCGGTCACCCATCACGCTTAACACTCCAAATGTTAGAAGATAGTTTTGTAGGTTACGCATTGCTATGATTGCTATTAAGAGGAAGAACCGAGTATGTGAGGAGAGTACTTGCCTGGCAGGCGGGTTTAGCATTTCGCCAATATTTAGTGAAAAGCAGGTTGAGTAAATAAATTTCCTCCTACAAGGGCTACTTGGAACAAATTCGCATATATTTCAATTGCATTGGTCATTACGCATCACTTTCGTCTATCATCGAACCTTGTTTAAAACCCAGACCGACCAAAAAGTCAGACTAAAACGCAAAACAACCTGGCAAGGCCAAACTGCAGTAAAGAAAATAGTGATATTACTTCTGGTCAGTGGAGTCATCGACGTCTTTCCGATATTTTTGGTCCACCCCCTCGCGATTTTGTTTCGTCTTCTTAAAAACAATTTCAGCGTTGGGTTTGCGTTGGGTCTCATCCCAGAACAAATATACCTCACTCACAATTGGTGATGGTGAAACGCGTCTGATAGTGCAAAAGGGCGAGTATTGAAAGAACAAAATAATTGAAAACGAACAAACTACATTATGTTTTAATTAGCTTCGTCGTTTCATAACAGTTTGATCCCTAACTATCATCGCTTCTTTGGTCTGGCAGACGTGTTTGGTCATTTCGCCATTTTTAGTGGTTGTCCCACCGGAATGATGGGATACGTAAGAGTTTGGTAAATTTTCTTCTTTTGGTCAGCTGGATGATCAACCCCTGTCACTTTCCATTAATTTTGTCCACCTATTCTCACTTTGGCTTTGGTCAACGCATTTTGCACATAAAATAGCATTATTCAATTGTAACCCCAAAAATCCAACCATTTTTTTTCGCTTTTTTACATTTTCAAAAATTTCAATTCTTTGAGTAACATCACTTACAAAAAGTGAATGTACACACTCACTCCACCTTCATTATTTCTAATAAGCGGTCAAGTTGTTTTGCTGGCCTCTGTAGGCTACTCCTATCTTAGTTAAAATATCGCTATTTACACTATTTTATTTCCTAACCATCGCTGGTGGAACAAACGAGAAAATCCGACAATTCCAAGAGTCCGATACTTGTCTCAAACAAGGTACCTAATGTACCCAGGTTTATTTTAACCGGGGGGTCTCACCATTGACACAAGCCCCTCAGATCGATATCTGTCGGGGTGAGCAAGGTAAACAGTGGATATGAGCGGGGGGACCCAAACACTCTTGATGAGCCGGCCTCATTTGAACAATATCGCTGGGGAAACTCATCTTCTCTTGCTCCTCAAACAATATACAGCCGGAGATCAACAAGGGCATGATGTTAATCAAAAGGGGATGAAATTACAATTCGTGAAGGGTCTTGGGGGGGAAAAAATCCGAATTACTAAGGTTTGTTGATATTACACTCCAGTGTGTCTCTTCCGTTCATTAAAAGTTGTGTTTTTGTCCATTAGGGATCCGCCTGTACTGAGGGCATACAACAAGACAGATGTAATATTAAGGCTGCCGCAGGGTAAAAAACTGAAGGACATAAAGTGGCTCTCAGTGTGGTGCAGGAGGTTCACGGTAAGTCCTACTTCTTTCATACCTACCCTTAACATTAAGACCATGAAGGTTAATTCTATTTAGTTAATTTTGGAGAGTAGTATAAAATATATACTTCCAGGTAGATTAAAATGCAGAGAGTGAGTAAATAAATGAGAGAGAGAGAGAGAGAGAGAGAGAGAGAGAGAGAGAGAGAGAGAGAGAGAGAGAGAGAGGAGGTGGTGGTGAGTTATAGCGTTATGAAGTGATTGTGGGCGTGAGTGAGCAATAGAGGATAGAGTGACAGTTTTCTGCCGACCGTGTTTATTAAGCCTANGAGAGAGAGAGAGAGAGAGAGAGAGAGAGAGAGAGAGAGAGAGAGAGAGAGAGAGAGAGAGAGAGAGAGAGAGAGTGAGGAGGTGGTGGTGAGTTATAGCGTTATGAAGTGATTGTGGGCGTGAGTGAGCAATAGAGGATAGAGTGACAGTTTTCTGCCGACCGTGTTTATTAAACCTAACGTGTGTAACTATGCTGTTGGCGAAAGGTGTGCAATTGAGTAGGGGGTGCATCGGATGGGGTCGTAGACGCCTCTCATCTCCATCCAGAATTTAGCGAGTCCCTCGGTTCTCCCAATTAAATGCCATCACACCCGCCCAACATTATCGCTCCATTACATATCGACCGGTGTACACTGCACTGTCGGAATGTATGCTAAAGAGAACCCTTTGTCAAACCGTTGATACTTTTTTTTTTGCATTGGTAAAAACAGATTTTCTTCAAATTTCCATGCAGAAATTTTAAAAAATATTTATAAAGGAATAGTCGTATAATTGTTAACAACAGAAAAGCAGAAGGCGTCGTCTGTGGCCGCAACGGTTTAGGCGTTTACACGGCGCTCATCACTGTAAGGTAAAGGTCCCGGGTTCGAATCCAGCGGCAATACTTACAAATGGGGTTTTTTTTTAAAACACCTGAGGGTTTATATGACCTCTGCTGTGACGAACCCTCGTAAAAAAAAGTAAATCTTTCGCTTTTCATTGAATCGTATTATACCCTATGCTTAGGAGTCCTATGGTTCCTAACTCAGTTTAAATTATAAGATGTTACGGTCGAAACTTCGGCCGACAACAGTTGGTCCCGTCGCTCAGTTGAGAAGGGGGTGGGTGAAGGAGAAAGGTCGGGAATTGTTGAATTACTTCGGTATTTTTGGGATGGATAAATACCGAAACCCGAGGAAAAGAAAAGAAATAGAGGTAAAGAAAGGAAAGGAGAGAAGAATGAAACCAAAGGGAAAAACATATTAACGGAGTTTGGAATTGAACCCCCAACTTTCGAGGCCCAAGTCGCCAAGCCAAAGGCGCCGACTGAGCTCGCCGCATCCCACCGGCTCACCCGCCTTACGCCTGGGATTGCCAACGGGTTAAATCCATTCTCCGGACAGATAGAGATAGACATAAAGAAAGATAAAGAACAATAATAAAGAAAAAACAAAGAACCAAGAAATATGCAAAAATGTAATAAGATTTTGCAAGACGTTTAGTCATTCTGATGTCTACAGGTTTGAGGTAATTTTCTCCGATGAAACATAGTCAACCTTGACCGACCAGAATGTTGGGCTACTAGCATGACTTCATGTCTTAAGAAAGCACAATCCTATTCCTAGCGCCAACAGAGGATAGGTTATTTCTTTCAATGGTCCATCCCGTTTCGTTTTGTTTAACGAGTGAAATCAACAGTTTCCTTAAAAAAAAAAACCTCTTGCCGTAGGGTAGAACAAAGGTTTTTTTAATACCAAGGGAAAGCGAATTTTTAGTAATGGATACTTAATGTTTAAGAAAGCATTCTTAGAGCATCGATGGCTTGAAAATTGCTGAAGAGTGGCATGGCATTGAAGCCTCCCGAAAGTTTTCGAAACTTGAAAGTATGAAGGACCGAGTATTTAACGTCATTGGACAGCCTCACGATTTACGCCAAAATATTAAGTGGTTCTTAACATTTCTTAAGTTCATTCAAATTAAAGTTTGTTAACGGTTCGTTCTATTGCTCTTAAGTAAAATTTCAAGGTCACGTCTTGCTGATTATGTGTTTTGTATCCAATTATTTTAACTTCTACAAATCAAGTGGGGAAAAGGCTAATTGAATTGTTTTTACGGCAATAACAGTCAACCGACGACTCCAAATCGCCTTCTTCAGACTTGCCTGGTCCCTGTGATAGCAATAGATAATTCACGGTAACGTCTGCTGAAGAAGAAAAAAGTCGTCGATCGGAAGCATCGATACTACTGCACTGTATTTGCACCTGACACTATAATTCAACTAGTCAACTGACAATAGTAAAATATAAGTATTATTTGGAGATCGTGAAATGCGGTCTGGTGTGAGATCTCACGATCTCTGAGGTGTCGAAATAGCACAGGGCAAACAATTCGACGAAATAGTTAATGTGTATAGTTTACAATTCTCTACTGATAGTTCTCGTGGGGCAGTACACAAGATGTCACTGAATGCTTGAGTAACTAAAACAACTAATGTATAATTTTTGCGACTCCTCTAAAAAATCAACCTGAGCCAATTTGAGAAAAGCATTTTCTGCATGATTGATTGCAATTTATAACCTGCACTTTTCTATCAAAGTTTCAGGAATTTGTTTGAAAAATAGGCTCTGATCATGATCTTTATACTATGAGTAAATCTTATTCATTGCAAGCGAAATAACTTTTTTTTTATCAAACTCTGCTAATAGTTCTAATAGTTTTTCTGGACGATTTTTGTTTCTTTAATAAAATTCAGAATTATTCGCAGGATTATGTTACTGCGATCTCCGTTGCTCAGAAATGATGTTTTTCAAAGAACCATCGCTGTTTTTTAATAGTTGCAAGTTACGTAGTATATTCTCTGTTGTATAGGTGAGCTAAACTTGAACCGAAGGTACTCACGGGTGATTTCGTTCAATTTTAGTTGACTCTGTTTAACTGAAGGCTCTCACGACAAATATTTCGAATGGCACAAAATCCAACCCATCAAACTAAGCCCGTATAACACTCCTTTTCTGTGCATAATTATCGGTCGAAATAATTAAATGGTCCGGAAGAAAATAATCGTTTAAAATCAAGTCTAAGTTTTGCAATCGGGTGCCAAAGAAGCATTTATTTCCATCCTTTTGAAACTATTTATTATTGTATTTTAATTTATTTATTCATTTTTTACTGGAAACGATTGAAACAAATTTTTTTTTAGTGACTAGTACCTGTGTGCGAGCCAGGGCGACCTAACTCAATTGAGGATAATCCCTCACTCTCCGAAACTCTAAATTTTCTCTAGAATCAGCTAAATATCAATTTTTCCCAGATTGCAATCCATCAACATCTCACATATAAAAAAAGTAAAATTCATCCTTATAATTCCTTAACACTTACCAGCCCACAACACTTGTAAGACAATTAATGTATACATATGTTTAAATAAATGACAATAAGGCGATATTTTGAAATTAATTATAATTGTACAAGAATAGAAGGAATTAAATTTAGATTTGATACAAACGAAATAAATCAAATATAAAATAAGTTTACAGTTTTAATAAAAACAAAGAGAAAAAAAAGAAAAAACATAAATTGTCTAAAGCGAAAAACTCACGGGTGAGGTCAGCGAGTGGAGCGGCGAGTCACAAACAAATGCGGAGAAATCGACACGTACAAAAAAACGTTCGCGAATAAATTGCGGATGTACTTGTACACAAAGTCTTTAAGCTTGCGGCTTGCGGGAACTGCTTCGAACATGTGCGGTAGCGAAGAAGAGTCTCTGGACCTCGTCGTCCAGCGCGTCTCCAACAACAAAAACCCGTCACTTCACCGCCTTTTAGGTGCGCGACGTACAGATCACAAAAATTTAACTTAACAACAATAATTACATGTAACTTATACTAATTATTTTTAAAACAAAAAATATACAATATATACAAAATATAGTATGCTTGAACGTACCGCCCACCAATTTTTGACCCACAAAAGTTCTAGGCTGATAAGCATTGCCTATAAATGGGGTTTGGCGGGAGTAAAGGTGCGAGGGCAGAGGTGCGTTAGTTAGACGACCGCCCACCCTAAGAACTCCCCTTGAATCTATAAATGAAGCGAGTGTTTTCAAATCGGAGTGAGTTTTTGGTGTTAGTGGGCATAAAGACAGGGGGATGGGTTTCGTTGTTCTGAGTGTTTACGAATACTATATCCTCTTTCATTAGCGGGAATTCTGCAGTTATGAGTGAAACGTAAGACATATGCTATGATTCTGATCAATTTGTAAACATACCTGTTAGAGTTTTTAATTATTTTCTGTTGAGTAGAATTTCTGGTTGTGAAGATTGAAATGCTAGCGTAGCTCAATTCATGGGCAATATTTACTTCTGCCAGCGAAACTTTTTAATCCTAGGCTGTTTTTTTCCTTTTGGAGTTGTAGGACATTACCGCCTTTTGCACCTAAACTTTCATCTGTTGTGTCCGTGCTTTGCTAAAGTACAGAAGCCTTCTCAGAGGGATGGTATCAAGGTCTTAATTGCCCAGGAATGACGATCCTAGGTATCCTAGGATTTTTAAGTGGTAGTTTACTATAACATACAGCTGTGTATGTTGTGTAGGGTGTATTGTGTATGTGTATGTGATAGGGTGCTTACTTCTTTCCTGTAGAGTAGGATTTCTTTTTTTTTCACATAGGATTCCTTTTGCGATTTAGTCATTGTGCTTGCCTCAAGCCTGGCGTACGTTCCCAGTATTTATGTTTTCTCGTAACCCAAGATTCTAGTTATTTTTAATGTGACTGTAATTTATGCCACACACAGAATTTGAGCTATGTGCTGTTCCGACGTTATCTTTTAGCTAGGGTATCTGCTGTCTCTTTATCTGAATATTCCTCATGATCTGGAACCAAGTGGTGCCAATTCTACCTACCACGTTCTTATGAAAAGATTGAAATGTAAATAGCTCAAAAGGGTTGAACACGTTTTAAAATTAAAAATTATTCTCACATCGGCCTGGATGTTTCAATGTTCA